AGATTTGGAGATGTGCTGAGGATTTGGAGATTTGGATATACACAAGAATCAAACTGAGGATTTGGAGATGTGCTGAGGATTTGGAGATGTGGATATACAGAAGAATCAAACTGAGGATTTGGAGATGTGCTGAAGATTTGGAGATGTGGATATACACAAGAATCAAACTGAGGATTTGGAGATGTGGATATACACAAGAATCAAACTGAGGATTTGGAGATGTGGATATACACAAGAATCAAACCGAGGATTTGGAGATGTGGATATACACAAGAATCAAACTGAGGATTTTTCTTTGCTTTTACCATTTGTAAACTCTGGGAGAAAGTTCTGGACTTCTGTCATGTTCCACAACTTGAGTTTTGCATGTACATCAGTTTTATGGATCTGGCTTATGTGTATGCAGACTGTTGGTCCTAAGCCTCTTTGGCAGATGCACTCCAACTTTGAAGGAAACACCCCTAACTGGTTGACTTTTACGACATACTGGTTGGAGTGGGGAGGGAGGTGCCCCTTACAATGGGGCCTGAGGACCCCCATGGGACAATCACAATTCAGTTGTGTGATTCACTCACCACTGTATTCTCACAGTCTGGAACTGGCTGACCTCGAGATGGGGCCAGATTGGACCATTGGAACCAAACATCTGTTGAGTGAGGTCTGGTATTCAACATGATTGATGCATCTATGGGAAGACTGAACACCTGGTTGCAACCACCAGGAATAGGATCTGAAGAATAAACAATGGATCCAAGTGATGACAATGAATCTGCAACCATAATCAGAATGCAAGAGCAGCAAGCTGAAAAGGATGAGGCTATCTGGGTAGAGATTTGACGTCACAGCATTCAGAACAAGCCCACATTAGCTCTACCTCCCTTCTCAAAAGCCAGCGAAGAGTCTCCGTACTGATGGTACCTGTTGCCATCTGGTTAACCACTTGTCTTGCCTTCCCTCTGAGTCTCAAGTGGCGCCCAGAGTCCACAGACACTCCCCGCTGCAAAATTATCTCTGACTGATTGATTGATTGGCACCTTTTAGTCTTTCCAGACGAGAGTGTTATACTGCGCTACGAGAAGGCATCGTACTCACAGCCCATGGCAATGGCCAGTGTGACTAGCAATACTCACTGTATCAAGGAAAGTCTTCCACAATGATAGCAAGGTATTTCAGGACCACTGTTGTCAACATTTGTGTTTAATCCGTTTCTTTTCAGACGCTCAGCTCTCATCCTTTTTGCAATAATTTCTTCCTTCACTCTCATTCCCTTCCTGATATGCCTCTTCCACACAACACGGTCTATAGCATTTTGTTCCCAAGAGTCCACCTCTATACCTGTATCATTCATGTCTCGCTTGCACACATCTTTAAAACAAAGCAGAGGTCGGCCTCGACATCTTCTTCCTGTCTTTAATTTACCATAAAGGATGTCCTTAGGGACTCTGCCATCATCCATTCTCCAGATGTGACCCAGCCGCCTAAGCCTTTGTAGACTGAGCATGGAAAAGACTGTTTTAGTACCTGCTCTTTCCAGTACCTCAGTGTTTGTGATTTTGTCCTGCCACTTAATGCCAAGTATTCTTCTCTCCAGGGGCTGCCACTTAATGCCAAGTATTCTTCTCTCCGGGGGCTGCCACTTAATGCCAAGTATTCTTCTCTCCAGGGGCTGCCACTTAATGCCAAGTATTCTTCTCTCCAGGGGCTGCCACTTAATGCCAAGTAATCTTCTCTCCAGGGGCTGCCACTTAATGCCAAGTATTCTTCTCTCCAGGGGCTGCCACTTAATGCTAAGTATTCTTCTCTCTGGGGGCTGCCACTTAATGCCAAGTATTCTTCTCTCCGGGTGCTGCCACTTAATGCCAAGTATTCTTCTCTCCAGGGGCTGCCACTTAATGCCAAGTATTCTTCTCTCTGGGGGCTGCCACTTAATGCCAAGTATTCTTCTCTCCGGGGGCTGCCACTTAATGCCAAGTATTCTTATCTCCGGGGGCTGCCACTTAATGCCAAGTATTCTTCTCTCTGGGGGCTGCCACTTAATGCCAAGTATTCTTCTCTACAGAGGCTGCCACTTAATGCCAAGTATTCTTCTCCCTGGGGGCTGCCACTTAATGCCAAGTATTCTTCTCTCCGGGGACAGGTTTACAATATCTGTAATTGTTCTTGTTACCTTAGCCCACAGTCGAGAGATCAGCTTTGCCTTGTACAGTGAAAAGGGTCAGGCCAGACAAGAGCACTATGTAGGATACCAAAGAAGAAGAATAAACCGAAGCAGAATTGGTATTTAGTTAAAAAAAACAAAAAGTGAAGATCGCTGTTTATGCCTTAAGGCACATTTGACATATAGAAAGAGCAGCCATATTTTTACAGATCAATTGGCACTAGGTTGGTAATGAGGTTAGCATTACGCCGGTCGTTTTTACTTTCCCAGGACATACATCCTGTTACCTATTTAAGGCTGGGTCGACCTGCGACACCCCAGACCATGATATAAATCCACGCAAGAATTGATATTACTGGCCGCTATATGATGAGTGATTTACTGTGGAGGGGATGTGAGCACTTATGGACTGAATGGTTCAATGTGCAATGAGGATAATCTGTCGACTAACACATGGGAATATAAAGGAAAGATATAAAAGCGAATGAAAAGGATATCAATAAAGGGATATAAAGGAATTCATAAACCTGAAAGGCTATCAAATAAATGTTATGTTATCACAATCGACGTCTTTGCATACTGGGTATCCCTATGCGTGCTCAATCCTCCGATGCAACAGCCACTCCAAAGAATCTAATGACTGTTCCCATGAGAAGCTAGTTATAGTATCTCCTGTCTTGACCTTGAAGACAGCATAGATGTGCTTCACCAAGCTTAACTCCTAGGTTAGCATCAGAGATTAAACATTATCTCTCAACCTAGTCCGTAAAGACGTGATGGCCTCTCCATGCTCTTTCCATTTGCAATGGTGCATTCCTCGTCAGCTGGTCAGCTCTTTCATTACCATTTACTTCTGCATGCCCCGGTGTGTAGATCCAGATGATAGAAGTTAACTGTGAATTCTGAATATTTTCTACCCATTCGGAGAGAAAACTACATGTTGCAATTTTCTGAAGGATGTTCAAAGAATATGAAACGATACTGCATGAGTGGCCGCTTATTCTGCTACCCATGTGAGTGCTCTGGAACCAGCAGTTATCTCCACCATAAGCACTGGAAAAGCAATGGGCCATGCCCATGTTCTCAGTGCTCTCATTAAAGCAGGAGAAGTTGAGATGATTCAGTAGACGATGGTGAATCAGCAACCCTGACAAATTACATAAACTTCATGTTAAAAGCAGATCCCTCTCAATAAACATATAAAAAAAGTACTTAAATGTTGAATGTTCTTGAATGTTGAATCGACATCACTGGATTTGTGACACCCCCCATAAGCGTTACGTCCCCATTTTCAGCAGCAAGTGAAGAGTCAAAATTCCGATGGCACCAATAACCGTCTGATTGTATATCCGTCTCATTCTTCCCCTGAATGTTGAGCGTCAGCCAGATCCCTTGGTAACTCCTCGCAGCCCCATTCTCCTCAGACTGTAAAGATCAATCTGTGCCTCGGCACTGTTCACTCACTTCCAAAGGCCCCCTCACAACATCCAGCTTGTCATACATCAGTTCACCACCAAGTGGTGCAGAACCGGCCAGTCTATCTTTATGCTCATTTACTACCACACTATCATCACCTGGAGAAAATATCCAAAGGATGCTGACTAACCGGGAACTCCTGAGTGATACTATGTTATGTTCAACTAGTATTGCTGTATGGCTGTGAAACTTTGAATGTGAATGAACAAATGAAGAACTGTAGACTGTAGAGATGTGCTTTCTGAGACGCATGCCGGACACTGTAGAGATGTGCTTTCTGAGACACATGCTGGAGACTGTTGAGCTGTGCTTTCTGAGACGCATGCTGGAGACTGTAGAGATGTGCTTTCTGAGACACATGCTGGACACTGTAGAGATGTGCTTTCTGAGACACATGCTGTAGACTGTAGAGATGTGCTTTCTGAGACGCATGCTGGACACTGTAGAGATGTGCTTTCTGAGACACATGCTGGAGACTGTTGAGCTGTGCTTTCTGAGACGCATGCTGGAGACTGTAGAGATGTGCTTTCTGAGACACATGCTGGACACTGTAGAGATGTGCTTTCTGAGACACATGCTGGAGACTGTTGAGATGTGCTTTCTGAGACACATGCTGGACACTGTAGAGATGTGCTTTCTGAGACGCATGCTGGAGACTGTAGAGATGTGCTTTCTGAGACACATGCTGGACACTGTAGAGATGCGCTTTCTGAGACACATGCTGGAGACTGTAGAGATGTGCTTTCTGAGACGCATGCTGGAGACTGTAGAGATGTGCTTTCTGAGACGCATGCTGGACACTGTAGAGATGTGCTTTCTGAGACGCATGCTGGACACTGTAGAGATGTGCTTTCTGAGACACATGCTGGAGACTGTAGAGATGTGCTTTCTGAGACACATGCTGGACACTGTAGAGATGCGCTTTCTGAGACACATGCTGGAGACTGTAGAGATGTGCTTTCTGAGACGCATGCTGGAGACTGTAGAGATGTGCTTTCTGAGACGCATGCTGGACACTGTAGAGATGTGCTTTCTGAGACGCATGCTGGACACTGTAGAGATGTGCTTTCTGAGACACATGCTGGAGACTGTTGAGATGTGCTTTCTGAGACGCATGCTGGACACTGTAGAGATGTGCTTTCTGAGACACATGCTGGAGACTGTAAAGGTGTGCTTTCTGAGACGCATGCTGGAGACTGTTGAGCTGTGCTTTCTGAGACACATGCTGGAGACTGTAGAGATGTGCTTTCTGAGACACATGCTGGACACTGTAGAGATGCGCTTTCTGAGACACATGCTGGACACTGTAGAGATGTGCTTTCTGAGACACATGCTGGACACTGTAGAGATGTGCTTTCTGAGACACATGCTGGAGACTGTTGAGATGTGCTTTCTGAGACGCATGCTGGACACTGTAGAGATGTGCTTTCTGAGACACATGCTGGACACTGTAGAGATGTGCTTTCTGAGACACATGCTGGACACTGTAGAGATGTGTGTTCTGAGACACATGCTGGACACTGTAGAGATGTGCTTTCTGAGACACATGCTGGACACTGTAGAGATGTGCTTTCTGAGACGCATGCTGGACACTGTAGAGATGTGCTTTCTGAGACGCATGCTGGACACTGTAGAGATGTGCTTTCTGAGACACATGCTGGAGACTGTTGAGATGTGCTTTCTGAGACGCATACTGGACACTGTAGAGATGTGCTTTCTGAGACACATGCTGGACACTGTAGAGATGTGCTTTCTGAGACACATGCTGGACACTGTAGAGATGTGCTTTCTGAGACACATGCTGGACACTGTAGAGATGTGCTTTCTGAGACACATGCTGGAGACTGTAGAGATGTGCTTTCTGAGACGCATGCTGGACACTGTAGAGATGTGCTTTCTGAGACACATGCTGGACACTGTAGAGATGTGCTTTCTGAGACACATGCTGGACACTGTAGAGATGTGCTTTCTGAGACACATGCTGGAGACTGTAGAGATGTGCTTTCTGAGACACATGCTGGACACTGTAGAGATGTGCTTTCTGAGACGCATGCTGGACACTGTAGAGATGTGCTTTCTGAGACGCATGCTGGACACTGTAGGGATGTGCTTTCTGAGACGCATGCTGGACACTGTAGAGATGTGCTTTCTGAGACACATGCTGGAGACTGTAGAGATGTGCTTTCTGAGACACATGCTGGAGACTGTATAGATGTGCTTTCTGAGACTCATGCCGGACACTGTAGAGATGTGCTTTCTGAGACACATGCTGGAGACTGTAGAGATGTGCTTTCTGAGACTCATGCCGGACACTGTAGAGATGTTCTTTCTGAGACACATGCTGGACACTGTAGAGATGTGCTTTCTGAGACACATGCTGGAGACTGAAGAGATGTGCTTTCTGAGACACATGCTGGACACTGTAGAGATGTGCTTTCTGAGACACATGCTGGAGACTGAAGAGATGTGCTTTCTGAGACACATGCTGCAGATCCCTCGGGGTAATACACTGTAGTTTGTTGACAATGGAATACTCAAAACCCCTTGAAAAAAAAAATCAAACCCTTACATTTAATTTCTTGTTCTTATAATGGACAGGCAGAGCAACAAACAACAACTGCCTGGAAATGGCACATGAAATGAGAAAACTTGATACAACCATAAGAAAGAGGCAGTCAGTGGTCTTTGGTCACTTGTTGAGAAAACAGCCTCAGAGAACATTGTGCTAACTGGAAAGATCAACGGTAGAAGAGGCTGTGGCAAATCAAGAGAGATAGACGATACTCCACGGCCTGAAGTGATTGCATGGTGGAATATCATCTGTGGAACTGATTGTAAACACCACCCACACTGAGATCTGTGGAGAGACATCAGCATTTATACCACTGGGCACAACCATCAGTATTGGAACTCTGCACTGGCTGCTGAAGATGAGGATGGAGCACACATGGGAATGTCCCGAGTACTGTGATGTCAATTCTTGACTCAACTCAACCACCGGGCACAGAAAATAATGATGATGATGACAACAAGTAGCAACAAATTTTGGAATTAAAACACTTACCATTTTTTGTATACAGATGAAGATAAGCGACGGCTGTCACATTACACTTGACAAATGTTTTGACATACCAAACCAACTGGGTCATGCTAGGCATGCACAAAGTTGTCATACCAACATTGGTGCCATTTTTGGTGACACTCCGAGAAAATGCTGGCTCTGATGATAATGATAAATTGTATCGCTGGGTGTGAAGCTGAAAAAGAAAGAAACATTATGGTGAAGTTAACAAAGTGTGAAGCTGAAACAGAAGGGAACATTATGGTGAAGTTAACAAAGAATATGAAACTGAACCAGACATCTCACTGTTTAAAATTCAAAATTTTTAAGGGGCTGCATGGTCTCGAGGCATGGTGTCGACCTCGAGTGCTAGGTTTCGAGTTCAATACCGGTAAAGGGCTGGGATTTTTTTCACGTGGACTCGGACTTCTAGTAATTCCCTCTGGTCTCTCCATAGTGAGATCGGACACCCGTGTGCATTGTTGTAATCGTAAAAAAATCCCTTGGCAGTTGGAAATCGAAAAGAGTAGCCTTACCACACTGCCCGGGCAAAATTTTGAGTTAAAAATCCACCCAAAGTATTTCAGGATCCTCGCCGGTTCTACAGAGCCTGTGCACTGTGCTGAGCTTCTTAAGACTTAGACTTGAGCTAAAAGAAGAACAAAGCACTCATGGGTTATATCCGCGTGCCATGATGTTGATCCATGGTTCAAAACTTCAAACTGTTCAAAATTCATCCACATGTAGCAAAAGACTGCCCCTTATCACCGTCTGCCTGAAAGAAACTTGGTCTCTTGCTAGCTCTCCCACCTCATGTACTTTACCACCCAAAGTATCACTTATATGCCCATCTCCATGTTTTCGGCCCCTGCCCCTCCTTCCTGCTATCATTCTTTCTAATACGCTGTTGTGCTTGATTTTGCCAGAATATTTTAGTTCCGAGGAAGAATGCTGTTTACAAGTTAACCTTCCTTGATATTAAGATCTTTTAGGATTCATGATAATTTTCTTGGAATAATGATGTGGTTTCCCCTTGCTTTCCACATTCACACGGCTTCAGACCGGCTACTCAGCCTTTGGCAACCTTTTAGGTTGCAAGGGCAAGTACTCTGTGATACCCCAGCTAACAGTAGACAGCACCCCAGGGGTGTCCACTTATCCCGGTGGATACTTGGTTCCCATAGCCACTGTGGCCACACCAGTGTGTTTACCATCCTCTACCACATGGAGGTGCAGCTGGGGATTTGCCTTCACATAGTCTTGACACCAGAATGGCATTTCTCAAAACTCACCAGTACTTTTAGAGAACCATCATCAGGGAGAACCCAACCATGGGCCTAATGAACATCCAAGACCTAACATTGGTGGCAACGAACCATCAATGGAGAGCTATGACCTCTGCCCTACGCATCACCCTAGGCTCAAGAGGAAAGACTAAATTACTTTTAGAGGACACTCAAAATGATGAGGCACAAATACGAAGATTATCATAGTTAGATCTCTGACTACTTGTTGATTAACACTGTAAGGCACAGATAAGAAATATCAGATAAGTACTGACGGAGCCTCATATCCACAGGTTTACATTGTCAAGCCATTTGCCTCACAGTCTGCAGTTAGTGGGTTCATTTCAGGCCAGTATTTTCCAGTTAGTGAATGCAATTGTTACAGAAACCTCTAGGGGTCATTACTAAAGCTACAGTTACTAGGCTCTGTTCTGCAGAGGCAGGTGGAGCCATATGGGATAAAACCCTGTATAATGAAGTCAATCCTTTCCACTTTCCACTTTACTTTCTGCTAAAAATTACAAGGCACAAATATGAAATATTATTACAACCTACTTATCTTTCATACCTCGGGGTAATATACTGTAGTCTGTTGACAATGAAATACTCAAAGCCCACGTTAAGAGAGATGGAGACAGGCATGCTCAGTGCCATGTGGTAGGCATCTCTTCAGAAGTCCCAGGTATCCTTTGGATATTTTCTCTGGATGATGCCAGTGTGTTGGGAAATGAGCAGACACATGGACTGGCTGGTTCTGCCCCACTTGGTGGTGAATTGATGTATGACAAGTTAGATATTGTGAGGGCCCTTTGGAAGCAAGTGAAAAGTGCGGAGGCACAAACAGATCCTTACAGTCTGAGGAGAATGGCAGTGCGAGGAGTTACCAGGGGATCTGGTCGACCCTCAGCACACAAGGGAAAATGAATATACAATCAGTTACTGGTGCCTACAGAACTGGAACTCTTTGCCTGCTGCTGAAGATGGGAATAGAGTGTTTATGGGAGTGTCCAGAGCGCTGTAATGACAATTCTTAATTCAACATTCTTGTTCTTATAGTCCATGCCATGTGGCGTTGGTAGTCATCTCTATCCACAACCTTCTGTCTCGTGGACTTTTAATCAATTCTGATACTTGATGGTCTTTCACACCCTGATTCAAACTGTACAGTTTCTTGTCTCCCTCTGTCTCTTTTCCCTTGCAACTTGCCCACCATCACAACATATTCCGGTGACATTACCAAAGAACTCTGACACAAAAACTTACTTACTTACTTTACTTTTACTTTTTCCTTCCACGTATGCCGCTAAGCGTTGTGGGGAGATGCAAGTTCCTGTCATAAGCAAGGAGGGCAGCATCTGATGTTCTAAGGCCATGCTTTTGGCAGGTTTCGGAGACCCCGTCAATCCACCGTTTCCTTGGTCTTCCTCTTGCCTTATATCCTGAGCTTCTTTGGTTGAAAATTTGTGATGTTATTTGGTCATTTTTCATCCTGGTTAGATGTCCAAACCATTTCATTCTTTGATGTTCTATGTAGTCTAAACATGGTGTAGTTTTGACAGTGTTTCTAATGTCTATGTTCTTTATCCTGTCTAGTCTGGTCTTATTCGCTGCTTTTCTTAGACATTTCATTTCACAGGCTTCTATTTTTCTTTCATGGGTCTTGTTGATTGTCCATGTCTGGCACTGGTAGCAGAGTGTTGGAGTGAAGATGGTGTTTATCAATTGTCTTTTGGTCTTCATGGTTATATCTGGATGTTTAAGCAGAGGTGATAGTTGGTATGTGACAGCATTTGCTTTCTGTATTCTTGTTTCTATCTCTCTGTCCATTCTTCCATCCTCTGTAAATATACTGCCCAAGTATTTGAACTCTTTGGTTTGCTTGATTTTGGCACTTCCAACATTTATATTCAGTGGCCTGTGTGACACAAAAACAATACTCAGAAATTACCACATTACTCACAGTCTGGGTGCTGGGAACCCATGTAGGGTGAGGTGGGGGACAAAGAACAGACCCCTGCTTTGACAAGCATGTCATAAAGAGCTACTATAAAACATAATAAAGTTGATTATCTCACTTTTAATATGACAGTGTCTACTGACCTGGAAGACAGCAAAGGTGGTATCAGATGGAATATCATCAATAACAAAGGATGATGTCTGATTTGATGGAATTTGAATTCTTTGTGGAAGTCCAGGTTTAAGGTTGAACTTCACACAGCCTGAGTTTATAAAACAAATATAGAAAATAAAATATTCAAATTGACATTTGGTAATAATTAGTATTAGTAATTTGAAGCTCTTCTTGTTATCCTTTGGATATTTGGCCCAGGGCATGCCGGTGGGCTGAAAAATTAACAGGCAGACAGACTGGCTGGTTCTGTAACCACATGGTGATGAACTGATGTATGACAAGCCAGATACTGAAAGGGTCTTTTGAGAGCGAGTGAACAGTGTGGAGGCACAAACTGATCATCACGTTCTGAAGAGAATAGTCTGCCTGTATCTCTCTTCTGTTTTCTTGGTCTGCCTCATGGTCTATATCTTCCTATGCAACTCTTTTGTGTAAACAGTTTTTTTTCTGTCTGTTGTAAGCTAGAAATTAGCATTTTAGTGACATTATAATGTTTTACAAGATTCAAAAGCAACTTTTGAAATCTCACCTCCAATTTCCAACAGACAAATCAGAATGAATACCATCTCCACCCTCAGTAACAAACCAGTAGACATGATGATGACTTCAGCATCAACAGAAGCAGATTTTCAGAAAATCCAACTACTGTACACCAGCCAACAGAATCCAATCTGGTATTTCTATTTGTGCTGCAAAAAGCAAAGGTTAGCAACATTGTCTTTAAAAAAAAAAATTTACATTTCTTTTTTTAAATCAGGAATCAAAAATCAGTTTCAGTGAAAGGTAATTTTGCTATACATATTCTTCCGCTTTATTATGTTGTACCATTAATACATCACACGGGGCTTACAGTCAAGTCCTCGATTCCACTTATGGAAGTGTCCTGAGTGGTAATTCTGATGGTAATTCTTAATTTAACATTTTATGTTGTGCATTATTTTTAAAAAAAATCTTTGAGTGAATTCAGTATAGCGAAAGTTGCCCAGTATAGTGAAAGATGCCCAGTATAGCGAAAGTTGCCCAGTATAGTAAAAGATGCCCAGTATAGTGAAAGTTGCCAGTATAAAGAAAGTTGCCCAGTATAGGGAAAGTTGCCCAGTATAGCGAAAGGTGTCCAGTATAGGGAAAGTTGCCTAGTATAGCGAAAGTTGCCCAGTATAGCAAAAGTTGCCCAGTATAGGGAAAACTGCCCAGTATAGGGAAAGTTGCCCAGTATAGTGAAAGTTGCCCAGTATAGCAAAAGTTGCACAGTATAGGGAAAGTTGCCCAGTATAGCGAAAGTTGTCCAGTATAGCGAAAGTTGCCCAGTATAGCGAAAGTTGCCCAGTATAGCGAAAGTTGCCCAGTATAGGGAAAGTTGCTCAGTATAGCGAAAGTTTGTATATAACCCTAAACAATTGTGTACAACCCTAAACATTTGTGTACAACCCTATTGCCTGTTTGGTGGCTCCTCTCAGGATAGGCCCAGCAAATGTGCATATATTATTTTATTTGATCACCTTTCTTGACTTTGTCTAATTTAATCTTGCTATATTATTACTAATGACTCCCAGGTCAACCCAGCCTTGAGTGGGTACCAGGTGCAGTCCTAGGAAGTAAAGGCGGCCGGCGTGATGCTGACCACGTGACCCACACAGGATAGGCCCAGCAAATGTGCATATATTATTTTATTTGATCACCTTTCTTGACTTTGTCTAATTTAATCTTGCTATATTATTACTAATGACTCCCAGGTCAACCCAGCCTTGAGTGGGTACCAGGTGCAGTCCTAGGAAGTAAAGGCGGCCGGCGTGATGCTGACCACGTGACCCACCAAGTGCTGATTGGCCTGCAAACATATACGTCTAGCCCTATATTCCCAATGCCTCTCAGGGCGTGGAAAAAAAACCTTTACATTATCACTAATATTAGGTTTCCTCATTAATGTGAGATGATTCCCTGAAACAAAAATATCATACTAGTAGTACTATCTCATCTCTACTGCTACTAGTAGTAGTACTATCTCATCTCTACTGCTACTAGTAGTAGTAGTACTATCTCATCTCTACTGCTACTAGTAGTAGTACTATCTCATCTCTGTAAGTATTACTGCTACTAGTAGTAGTACTGCAAACAGCTGAATAGTTTAGCCTTCTGATGAGAATGTCCTGGCAACAATTTCCACACACAGAAAGTCACTCTAAGAAATATAATTCCCACACAGCAAGGGAAAGATCACCCAAGATATGGAACGACTGCATCAACCAAGAAGTCTTAACGAAAAGAAGTTCAACTTGTACAACACATTAGATTTAAAAAAACGCAGATTGAGATACGTTGACCTATCTCATATCTCCATCACATCACCGTTTTCTCCAAGCCAACTTCATGACGTTTAACTAGCGACTACGGTGTTCGGCAATTGGCGGCCTTTTGGCAATTTCCGTTACCATGGAAACTGTTCGAAACTTGCTTCGCAAATGTCGGCTGGGGTTTTGGGATGGGTCCTAATCTCTCATGGAATTATGCGATTGGTGTGATTTTCACCCACTATAAAAAGCTGAAAACAGCGGGAAGGAGCCCGATTAACAGCGCATGTCTACGACAGCCGGACGTCCTCTGTTTTTCTGTTACATCAGTTTGATTGAAAATAGCGATAGGTATTCAGGGTTGGCTTTAGGCTTTAACAATTGCTGGTCCTGGTAATGCTAGTTAGAATTGAATTCTCTGTCCAATTTTACATTTGTGTATAAAATTTCTTTCTGAACAGTGGCTTGGTAGATGTACAGTGACATTTTTCAGGCAATCGCTGGCTCAGCCAGTGGCTGTGTCTCATTGTCTGCCATCTTGTCCAATGACACTGCAATGTAAACAAAGACAAAACGATAAGTGCGCAGTTTGGTTGCGCAGAGAAAACCTTGTTTCTAAGACGCAAGTTTTAGCAGCTGCTTTCTACATTTCATCTCCACAAAAACCTACATATCTCAGATCAGAAATGACATACAAGCCTAAATGAGGTACCGTTGGAAAGAGATTGTTTACAGCTATCTAACTGTCCTGGTTTTATTGATGTAGAGGGCATTTTGAAAATTTGACTAAAGTACCTAGTTAGTACTTACTACTACTAAGTCCCCGACAAAAATAATCAAATCGACAAATCACAAATTTCTCTAATAATACGAACTGCATACAATTGCAAACCGCAATAATTTTTCAAATCTTTAAACAAAGAAGCACACCACTCTATGCCATTTGAAATAACAGTGATAAAAAAGAGAAGTCCAGCAAACAACTTGTCCACCATCATAGCGGGACGTCACTCTCACAAACAGTGTTGTTACTTTTCTTTGACAAAAAATATCCAAAACGGTGTCAAAAAATATCTAAAAAGATCTAAATCAGCGTGAAAAAAGATCTAGAAAAAACATCCAAATTGAAATAGTCAAAAATTACACAGCTGTTGTTATGACTTACCCTACATAATCATGTCCTCGCCTTCACTGATGTCTGCCTTACAAGATCCACAGGATAAACTTAGCTTGGATAATGAAGTTGAAGCTTCAAATCCAAAATGACCCTGGTATGCTTTAGAATAGGTCAAATTTCATCCTGTTTCGTAGGTTAGATTTGATATAATTCCTAGCACTGAAAACTCTTTCTACGTCAGCATTTGAGTGGGGTAGTATCATATCAGACTTGGCACTTTTAAAGAGCTTACAGAATGGACTGTTTGATGAGGCATTTTTAAATTGTCTCACTTCACTCCAAAACGCTTTAGTTTCTGTTTTGTTTGTCCATTCAGCTAACTTTATTTTGGTTAACTGATATTCTGTTTCCGCGACACTATTTTCAGTAGCCCCTAAAAATGTCATAACTTTACAATATTTAGGTATGTCCTTTATTGGCTGAAGTATGTTGCTCACAGAAAAAGTGAAATATTTTTCAAAACATCTAGATTTTTAGGAAGTCTGCTTCAGTTGCTTGAATAATGAGATAAGGAAATCTTGACAGCGTTTTCTCAAGTTGTTTTCTTCATTCTCTGTTAACAGTCCTTTTGTTTTTAAATCATCAATTTTTGATTCGATTTAATATCCAAGGTGTGGCTTAGGAGCCAAATAGCTCTCTATAGTGCAAGTGAGCAAATCAGCTTTAGAAGTTAGCAACACCAGTCTTTTACCAACTGAGTGAAATAGCAAAGTGAGATCATCAAGTAATTTAACTTTATCAACATGTTTAGATTCGAACAGTTTATTAACTTTTTGCACTTCCATTAGAATAGGTTATAAAAAGAGAATGAATGACACATTTTTTTTTTATCGCTGTACATTCCATATAGTATTTAAGCTGTGTAGCACTGTTCACTTTGTCTTGTTATTTCAAAGTGTGTCTTCAACTTCAACCATTGCTTCATAATTCTTTCAACAGCTGGTTAAATTGATAACCATCTAGTTTTGTAATCTGACAGAATTTTCGGTGGTGTGGAACCATCATTCAAGGCTGTATATAATGTATTGTATTGCTGTTGTCTGACAAATAATTTGGAAAACCAGTAAAGTGTTTCAGCAATAAGGTATTCCAAATTCCTTGGTAAATATTTAGATGAATCATGTGATAATGCTAGCTGCAATGAACGACGCGTACATTTTATAAGTATTAACGATGGGTTAGCTTCCTTCAACTTGGCATAAACGCCATTGTTTATACCAACCACCACTGAGGCATTATCAATACCAATTACAGCCAAATTTTTCAAGCCCAACTGTTTGCTGATTAAAAGGTCCTTCAGTTCCTAAACTATACTTTCTACATCACACTTTTTCAATTGAACTAGTCCAAGATTTTTACAAACCGATCAAATGGTCACAGTTTGAAATTGCGCAGTGACAAATTAAAAACATTGCGACTGATACTTCAACTTTTGATGATTCATTTATCAGCATAGTTCTGAAAACAGATGTCAGCGGTGTAATATCTTTAAATGAAACTGCAGTTTTATGCTTTTTTAGTCTCTGCATGACTCTTTGAGTTTTGTATTTTCGCTTTAATTTCACACTTGCAGTACTTACAAGAAGCTTTGGTCATATCCCCAGTTTTTAATCTTGTCATCATGCAACCACTCTTTCCAAATTTTTTTTGCTCATACTTTACTTTTGGCATGTTGAAAGGTTTTTTTTCAAAGTGGAAGCCACAAAAGAAGGTTAGCAATAATTTTTTTTCAAATCACATGAAAAAGAAGCGCAAAGTCAGCACAGTGAGGATACGGGTGAAACAAAGTTAGTATGATTTACGCGCGTTTTTATTAATCAGTACCGGGGCTGCCAGATATTTGTGCGTTGACCCCAGTGAGAGTTCAAAGTTCAAGTAATGGAAGTTGTCACAATGTACGTGGAAGACCAAAACAAAAATATTGTAGTAAATATTTTACACAGTAATTATTAAATTGACAATGAGAGAAAAAAAATCTATAAAATATCTAACTCCATATGAAAAGTTACTAGAAAAATATTTACGATCTAAACGTCAAAAACAGTATCTAAATGCAATGAAAAAGATCTAAATTTGGATATAAAAGATCCAAAGTGGCAACACTGAGTGTTGCCACTTTTCTTCGACAAAAAATATCCAAGACGGTGTCAAAAAATATCTAAAAAGATCTAAATCTGCGTGGAAAAGATCTAGAAAAAACATCCAAATTGAAAAAGTCAAAAATTACACAGCTTTTGTTACGACTTACCCTACATATTCATGTCCTCACCTTCACTGATGTCTGTCTCACAAGATCCACAGGATAAACTTAGCGTGGATAATAAAGTTAAAGCTTCAGATGTAAAATGACTCTGGTATGCTTTAGCTGTTCAAATTTCTTTATAAGTGGAACAGTAGGCTTATTTATCTAATCTCATCAGCCCGGCTCTCTAGCGAAGTTGGTTAAACCTGACTTTCGCGGCGGCCGGGTGACGAACTCCTTGTGGTCCGGGTTCACTCCCGGGGGTAGGCAGAAAAGCCACATTTCTCCCAGATTAACGGTACCTATAATGGAATCAATGCCGAAGGGTTGCGATATCCATAGTACCGAGCCAAAGGGTTTACAACTCATGGTTTCTGGATACGTTAAAAATCTCATCAGGCCGAATTTTAATGGCACGATAGCATTTAAGAGGTCAAATTTCATCCTGTTTTTTAGGTTAGATTTGATATAATTCCTAGCACTGAAAACTCTTTCTACATCAGCATTTGAGTGGGGTAGTATCATGGCAGACATGGCACTTTAGAGAGCTTACAGAATGGACTGTTTGATGAGGCATCTTTAAATTGTCTTACTTCACTCCAAAACGCTTTAGTTTCTGTTTTGTTTGTCTATTCAGCTAACTTTATTTTGGTTAACTGATATTCTGCTTCCGCGACACTATTATCAGTAGCCCCTAAAAATTTCATAACTTTACAATATTTAGGTATGTCCTTTATTGGCTGAAGTATGCTGCTCACAGAAAAAAAGTGAAATATTTTTCAAAACACCTAGATTTTCAGGAAGTCTCTGCTTCAATTCCTTCCATAATGAGATAAGGAATTCTTGACAGCGTTTTCTTAAGTTGTTCTCTTCATTCTCTGTTAACAGTCCTTTTGTTTTTAAATCATCAATTTTTGATTCGATTTAATATCCAAGGTGTGGCTTAGGAGCCAAATAGCTCTCTATAGTGCAAGTGAGCAAATCAGCTTTAGAAGTTCGCAACACCAGTCTTTTACCGAGTGAAATAGCAAGGTGAGATCATCAAGTAATATAACATTATCAGCAAGTTTAGATTCCAACAGTTTATTAACTTTTTGCTCTTCCATTAGAATAGGTTATAAAAAGAGAATGAATGACACATTTTTTTCATCACTGTACATTCCATATAGTATTTCAGCTGTGTAGCACTTATGACTTTGTCTTGTTATTTCAAAGTGTGTCTTCAACTTCAGCCATTGCTTCATAATTCTTTCTATAGCTAGTTAAATTGATAACCATCTAGTTTTGCAATCTGACAGAATTTTCGGTAATGTGGAACCATCATTCAAGGCTGTATATAATGTATTGTATTGCTGTTGTCTGATAAATGATTTGGAAAACCAGTAAAGTGTTTTAGCATTAAGGTATTCCAAATTCCTTGGTAAATATTTAGATGAAGCATGTGATAATGCTAGCTGCAATGAATGATGCATACATTTTATAAGTATTAACGATGGGTTAGCTTCCTTCAACTTGGCATAAACGCCATTGTTTATACCAACCATCACTGAGGCATTATCAGTACCAATTACAGCCAAATTATTCAAGCCCAACTGTTTGCTGATTAAAAGGTCCTTCAGTTCCTAAACCATACGTTCTACATCACACTTTTCAAATTGAACTAGTCCAAGATTTTTTACAAATCGATCAAATGGTCACAGTTTGAAATTGCGCAGTGACAAATTAAAAACATTGCGACTGATACTTCAACTTTTGATGATTTATTCATCAGTATAGTTCTGAAAACAGATGTCGGCGGTGTAATATCTTTAAATGAAACTGCAGTTTTATGCTTTTTTAGTCTCTGCATGACTCTTTGAGTTTTGTATTTTCACACTTGCAAAGTACTTACAAGAAGCTTTGGTCATATCCCCAGTTTTTAATTTTGTCATCATGCAACCACTCTTTCAAAATTTTTTGCTCATACTTTACTTTTGGCATGTTGAAAGGTTTTTTCAAAGTGAAAGCCACATAAGATGGTGAGCAATTATTATTTTTAATCACATGAAAAAGAAACGCAAAGTCAGCACAGTAAGGATACGGTTGAAACAAAGTTAGTATGGTTTACGCCCGTTTTTATTAATCAGTACTGGGGCTGCCAGATATTTGTGCGTTGACCTCAGTGAGAGTTCAAAGTTCAAGTAATGGCAGTTGTCACAATGTACGTGCCAGACCAAAACAAAAATATTGTAGTAAATATTTTACACAGTAATTATTAAATTGACAATGAAAAAAAAATCTATAAAATATCTAACTCATGTGAAAAGATTCTAGAAAAATACTTACGATCTAAACGTCAAAAACAGTATCTAAATGCAATTAAAAAGATCTAAATTTGGATGTAAAAGATCCAAAGTGGCAACACTGCTCACAGACACGTCTATCAGAGTCAGATTTATGTTTGTGCTGTTTTCAGTATGTACTCCGTTGATAAAGACTTTGGTTGAAACGTTCGGTTGTATTTGTGTATGTCTTTTCCATTCCCTACATTGAGCTTTCTAGTCACATATTATATTATCAACATGGATGCCTGGTGCTAT